CGAGTATATTTGGGAAATCCCTCAAGGTTTCGAGGATAATCGTAACACTATGATCTTCCACTTTAGGTGCTGTTGAGAAACAACGTTGGAGATTTGAGAAATACCTTAGTTCTCAACTTAACCTCAAGTTGAGCTCAAATCTAAATGTTTTTGGGAACCTACCAAAAAAAAGGTAAATTTGGCAACACTGAAACCGCCGTTTTTTGTGTTCAATATTTTGACATTTGTTTGCGTGGCTTTGGTGGGTTTGACAATTGCAATTTTTTGGGGTTCCTATAAGTTATTGTGTTACGAAGAAATTAAGGATTTTGATTAAATAAATAAAACAAATTAGAAAACGCTGAAAGAAAATGAAGACGAATATAATACAGTTACCTCTTGTTTTTCTCTGCATATTGCCGGCGGCTTTTGGTAAGTTTGATGTGGTCGCCCGTGATTGGTCTTCCGCCCTCTATTAAGTATTTGTTGTTTTTCTTGTACACAGATTTGTTATCACTACTAATATTCATTTTAAATTTAGCTGCCAAAACTAATTTTGTCACCTGCGGTTCAATATTTAAACTTCTCAACTCTGATTATGGCTCCAGACTTCATTCACACGATGTCAAATATGGATCTGGGTCGGGTCAACAGTCGGTGACCGGCGTCGAAATAAAAGAAGATGTAAACAGTCATTGGGTTGTAAAAGCTCCAACAAATAATCACTGCGAACGTGGCGAACCTATTCAATGTGGTGATACCATTAGATTAGAACATTTGACAACCAAGAAGAATCTACATTCACATCACTTTTCTTCGCCATTATCGGGTGAACAGGAAGTATCTGCTTATGGCGAAGATGGCGTTGGCGATACAGGGGATCATTGGGAATTGGTATGCACTAGTGATGAATGGATACGTGATGCTCAAGTACGATTTCGGCATTTAGACACTGGCAGTTATTTGGGTATGTCGGGACGTTCGTTTGGACGGCCAATCTCTGGACAAATGGAAGTAGTCGGTTTTAGCAGTCCGCAACATGGTACCCGGTGGGCAACTGCGGAAGGGTTGTACATCGTACCAAAAGATAAAGAATCACATACTGAGTATGCGCATTCGGAACTCTAAAAGAACTGAAAACGATTGAAAGGAGTGTACTTTAACTTTGTATGAATATTTGCCGTGCTACTTTGTAATACATATTTTTT